ACAAGTTTCACTTTTTAAATGGAATTACTGAAATCAATCTACTTTTTCATGATATTCTAATTTTATGACCAGCACCTGTACAGTCAGACACAGGGTGTGAACTATGAGGAGCCTTTTTCTCCTACTGCTAACATGCACAAAAAGCAACACAGGAGGATCTAATTGTCCACCAGATGGATGAATAAACGGCCTGTTTGCATGCACCGATTGAATTTGAGATCTATATGGAACAGCCACAGGGTTATGAAGTTAAAGCTAAAGGAAATGACAGACTGGTTAGTAAATTGGAGAAATCCCTGTATGGACTTAAACAATCAGGACGCAACTGGAATAAAATGTTGCCTGACTATCTATAATTTGGGTTGATGATTTGATTATTGCAACAAATGATGACATGATTATGAAAAATGTAAAAGATATGCTAAACTCTCACTTTAGAATGAAAGACTTTGGACGTTTAATTCATTTCTTAAGAATTGATTTTGAACAAACCAAAGACTGTGTTAAAATGTCTCAATGTACATATTTGTCAACAATACTGGAGAGGTTTGACATGCAAAACTGTAAAGCTAGGTCTACACCGTGTGAACAGAGACTAGATTACAGTGAGGATGCTGAAACATTGGAGGATGTGAAAAGATACAGAGAAATTGTTGGTAGTCTGATCTATCTAGCTATTTGTACGAGACCAGACTTGTGTTTTGTAGTGAGTAAATTGTCACAGTATTTTATAAAACCAACTACTGAGCAGTGGACTACTGTTAAACGCACTCTAAGGTTCTTAAAGGGGACTGAAAGCAAAGTACTCAGCTTTCAGAAGTACACTGTTAATGGCATCATATATGCATACAACGAGGCAAATTGGGCAGCTGATGTAAGTGACCGAAGAAGTACATCCGGTTATTGCATCAGTCTATCCAAAGATGGTCCCTCAGTCTCATGGAAATCAAAGAGACAGCCCACTGTAGCTTTGTCAACTTGTGAAGCTGAGAATGTGGCTTTGGCTGCAACCACACAAGAGTGCATCTACCTGCAGCAGCTCTTAAAATCATTTGATGGTCGAGAATACAGATGCAAAATCTATGAGGACAACCAGGGAGCTATAGCATTAGCTAAAAATCCTGTACAGAGACAAAGATGCAAACATGGACATTAAATACCATTTTTGTGAGGTCCATGTTAAATTCAGGCTGGATTACCCTAGAGTACTGTCCAACAGATCAGCTGGTTGCTGATTTAATGACCAAACCAGCAACCAAATCAAAATTGTCAATGTTTAATGGTTTTCTTTTTGGTAAAGTATAAAATGACTGTACAGAATGTCTTATGAAGAATGTTAAGTTTTGGGTGTATAAGGCTGAATTTGTGTTATTGACAATGTTATGAAATGTAAACAAGTGGGGGTGTTGAGCTGTGCTCTCATTATTGTTAATTGTTCTGTGGTAAAGATGACATCACACTTGCATGCTCACGGCCTCCCCCTGTGTGGGAATAAATGAGTGTGCCCGTGAGTGAACGGTGGTCACACGAAAAGGAATCTCAGACTGAGTGTGTCTTCAATGGCTACGTGAAAAGCTGCGTTAGAGACTCAGCTAACGAGTTAAACAATATTTAAACTGGGAAATGGGTAAAAGCTTGATGGGAAAACCAGTAGGACCATCAGAAACTGGCAGAGTGACAGTGATTAAAGATAAATTAGAAATTATGAGGGCAAACATGATCAAGTATTTATTATGTTGTGTTCAGTTAAATTTATTTATTTTCTATTTTTATTTTTTATTATTGAAAAAAAACAGAATAACAATGACAAATTCAACAATATGTCAATATTGAACATTACAAGAAACAAATAAGATCACAACTCCTATTAACTCCAATAAAAAATTACAGGCTGGAAAAAAAAATAAATGATTAAGAAGAGGGGACTAACTGGAATTCTTTCAATAAATCGGATAATTCATTTGCTTTAAGGTTCTGCATCTTCTTCAGACGTCGGTTAAAGGAGGAAAGTTTGTTTTTGACAGCAGAGAATCACGGGGAGCATTTTGCATAATGACATTTATGGATATAATATTTGGTTATAATCATCAAAGTATTAACTAAGAATTCCACCTTTTTTTCATTAATATATAAATCAAACCGAATTATTTGTAAGGAATTGAAGTCCACATTTATAGATCTAGAAGTTAGAAAGATCTGAAGTTGATCCCATAGATTTTTAACTTCTTTACATCCATAAAACAAATGATTAGTAGTTTCCAACTGAGTTGTACAGAAACCACAATTCCCAACATTGAATTTAAATCTCTCTCTTAAGTACTCATTGAAGGATATGTGTAATTTATTATTTTAAATTGTAATTCTTTATATTTAGGAGGAATTGGGAATTTCAAATAATTTGACCTAATTTTGATTATTGTAGATTTGTTAAAATGTTGTAAGAGAAATGTACGTTTAGTTGGACCAGGGTTCATATTATGTATAAAATATTGATTGAAGAACCTTTTGGTGCATTTATTATCTCTAATGTCCACATGCTCATTATGAAGCTTATGGAGTCTTAGAATAGAGAAATTAGATAATCTGTTTTTAACTGACATAAGAGGAACATTAGGTATGCAATGCATAACTTTATTGTAACTTGTTAATGAACAATCAGTTCCATGAAGCCTGTTGAACTCCTCCAAACTTAAAATATCACCATTTCCATCCATTAAGTGAGAAATTGACCAGATTTGTTTATTCCACCAATCCTTTATAAATATAGATCTTCTACCACATAGAAAGGCTCTGTTGTTCCACAGTGGGACATTATGAGGGCTTATGTGCTTGAACATTAACTTCCAATCTAGCAGAACCTGTTGATGGAAATGTGAGAGTTGTAGGGGGAGTTTAGATAATTCAAAATCACATTTTAGAAGCAACTCCATACCACCCACACTTTGAAACACAAATGACGGTATAACAAACCAAATGAGACCACCATTAAAAAAAAAAGCCTATTTATTTATTTTTCTGGGTGTATCATTTCCTGTGTCCTTGTTTTACTCCATATCAGTAGGTGGCGGTAATGCACTTAACATTAGTTTGCCAACCGCCATAAAACCTCCCAAGAAGAAGAAGAAACCGGAAAAAAGAAAGTCAGCTGACCCGACTGTCTCGTCTTTCGCTGTCTGAGAGACTTTTTAAAAAATATTTCGGGGCAGTTTTTACACAGATTTAATTAGTTTGTTCGGTTCTGGGAGCTGAAATGCTGCGACCGAAAGCTTTGACCCAAGTTCTGAGCCAAGCGAACACCAACGGAGTCCAGAGCACCCTGTAAGTCTGGAGCTAGGCTGCTAGCTAAGCTGCTAGCGGCTAGCGGCTCTGTTTGCTATGGAGAGACCAATCCTCACTGAAACTATTAATAATTGTTGCTGTTTGTTCGGATCCTCAAACCGTTTTTCTGCAGGACTGAGAACTTTTATTAGAGAAATTAGATCAGGATCCTGAAGCTGGTAGAAAAGTGAGCAAAGGGGTTAAAGTGTGGAGATCTGCATGTTTCTGCGGTCAGATGTGAGCTTTGTTTCCCGCAGCTTGTTGAACAATGAGGGATCTCTGCTGGCTTATTCCGGTTATGGAGACACAGACGCCAGAGTCACCGCCGCCATTGCCAGCAACATCTGGGCCGCCTACGACAAGAACGGCCACCAAGCGTTTAATGAAGACCAGCTGAAGTTCATCCTGATGGACTGCATGGTGAGACACGCCTCAGGAAGCTGCTGAGAAGCCTTCAGGAGATTGGAGCCATTTTTCTGTTTGTTCCTCAGGAGGGGCGAGTGGCCATCACCCGGGTGGCCAACCTGCTGCTGTGCATGTACGCCAAGGAGACGGTGGGCTTTGGGATGCTGAAGGCCAAGGTGAGGAAGGTTTACTTTTTAAAGATGACAGCAGCTGCTTCCCACCAGAGCTCGTTCTGAACTGTTCTGTCTGGTTTGCAGGCGGAGGCGCTGGTTCAGTATCTGGAGGAACCTTTAACTCAGGTGGCGGCATCGTAGCGGATCCGCGGCTGAAGCTTCTGAAAACGGACCCCTGGATCGGGATCCTTAATGAGCATCGGATGTTGGAGGTTTTACTGAAGGACTCTGTGCTTCTCCAGCTTCTCTCACTAACCTCAGTCCATCCTGGGGAAGATGTGATTCTGTGAAAATGTGTCTAAATAATAAATGTTGTGAGAATATTTCCCTTTTTCAGATGAATTGTCCAATAAAGAAGATTTTATGGAAGAGTTTGTTCTTCTTTCAGGCAGCGATGAGCCGCCATGCAGGTAGAGCGTAAAAACAGAACCAGGTCTGTTTGGTTTTATGATTAATTCTTCCAGGAACAAATTTAATACATAAAGGATTTAATGAGCAGCGAAGGCAGATGATTAAAATCATTCTGTATTAATGTGGAAACAAACCTTTTTTTAATCTTTGTCATTTATTCAGTTAATTTGATTGTTTTTGTTCCAGATACACAAAACTAACCTCCCATGGCTTTTTTTTTTTTTTTTTAGTTTTCTAATAAAAATCAGGAAGAATCTAGAAGTTAAACCTGGATTAGAGTTTCACTGATCATGTGTAAAGAGTTTATTCTAATCCTGAGAAGATGATTTAACTGAACTGGGAAACTTGAATCACAGCTTTTCCACTTTGGTCGATTAAAGAACCAATTAAGGTCGATTAAAGAACGGCTTTTCTTTGGACTTACGAACTCTGGCTCCTTCATTTATTCCAGAAAAGCTCCATCAGCCCCGATTCTCTGGAAGAAAGTCTGGATTCTATTTGGTCTCGGAGCTTAAAAACAGGGTTGAGTTTGTTGCAGTGGCTGCTGGTGAAATCCCAGCACTGAGGGGTTCCCAGTCCAGATCTACAAATTAAGGAGTCATTTCCTGCACATCATGTTTCACCTGCTTTATTTGCTCAAGCTAGAAATAAAACTAGAATATCAAGAGGTTGTTAATAATTGGAAAAGGTTTAATCTCTGAGGATGAGCTGATCTATCAGAGCTTCTAGAAGTGATGATCTGAGCTTCTGAACATCAAAGATGATGTTTTCTTGGAGAATTAAGGTTCAATTCCTGGTTCTTCCACCAGGAGGAGCCTCAGCGCTTCACCTCAGGTTCACCTGCCCAACCTGCTGGTCATGTTCCACGCCTCCATCACCCTGCAGCCGCTCCCTACCTGAAGGGCCGCCCACCGCAGCACAAGCTGGAAGCGCTGCTGTGTGCTGTGCAAACAAAGCAGCTCTGTTGACTGAGCCGGAAGGACAGGAAGCTGCTGACAGGCGTCCATGGGGAAGGACAGATCTGCAGCCGTCGTCTGTCCTCTTTAGAGAAGCAGGCGGGTCTCAGTGTCGTCTTACATCTAGACTTTAGACGGCGACAGCACTGAATGGAAACATGGGATCAGATGAGGCTTACAACTTTGTGTTTAAGGGTGAGTTCCTGATTTCATCCCTGATATCTTCTGCAGTTGCTGTTGAAGGCCTTCTTCTTCTTCTGCCTCGTTTCTTATTAACCTTCTGGCCTTTCTGACTCTGCTGGTTGTTAATAGAACGTTCAATGATTGCAGGAACAAACAGCCAATCATTGACCTCCTATCACTGTTGGCTCAGATATGAGGGGGCTAACGGTGATGATGACATCACTGCAAAGCTGAGCAGTGATGTCATCAAGTCTTAGAAAAGAGAGTTCTTCCACTGAGGATGATTAGTGGCCTAGTTAAAGTTCAGAAGTCAGGTCTCTATTGAAACACAGTGAGCCACGGATGCAACTCTGTCTTTAGAAACGGTCCAAATGGATCCAAATATTCAGAACCAGACAATAAA